GTCTTTTTCTGCTCGGCCTCCAGTACCCCCTCACGCCAACTGCAGTGGGGTGCAGTATCGGCCTACCGGCCTACTTGAGTGTTTTTCCGCTACCCAAGGGCCTCAGGGCCGCTAGCTTCACCACTTGAGTGTTTTCCCTGCTACAACCCTCAATGCCACGGCCACAGGTAAGTACCGGCCCTACGGGCCTACCAAACAAGCAAGTACCCTTGCGGGTCCCACACACACTCATACCAACAAGCACTCAGGCAGGCATGCAGGTCACAAGCACGCACACACAGACATACTTAGAAACACTGCAGAATGCGGGAATCTCAGCAAGGCATCCATTCCATCGGAAGAACTTCAGAAATCTGCAGTGTTCTCAGTCTGTGTTTTGACGGGTCATTAAATTTTTAAGGAAAGAAATTTTGAGTACGGATTGACGAGCAAAGCAAGGCATTGAATGTTAGTCAAGTCTATGGGTTAAGGGGCGTGAAAAACACTCCTTCCCTAGGAACCTAATCCAACTGAGTCATGAATGAGTCTGAGAATAGCCGAAACCTGAGTGATCAGGAAGAGTGAAAATGGAAGGGGCGCCTTTGTCTTTCGTTATGGATGAACGGCCGGGTGGGCTAGTGCTGCTTAGGGTCGCGAGCCCCAACTCGAGTGCTAGACGCTAAGTCGGATGTACGCATGGATAGTACATTACTGAGAGAAATGGAAAAAAAAAAAAAGGGAACTGCACGCAAAACAAAACTGAGATGAGATGGCCACCTTCTAACCTCCAAGACAAAAATGGGATCCGTAACCTCGAGGCCCACCCCCTCGGGCACTAACATTAAGAATGGAAAGGAATGGCCCTAACCAGGCTGTTCAACTTGAGAATGGAAAAGAATGGCCCTAACCAGGCTGTTCGACTTGAGAATGGAAAAGAACGGCCCTAACCAGGCTGTTCGACTTGAGAATGGATAAGAACGACCCTAACCAGGTTGTTCAGGAATGGCCCCTGACAAGGGTCGTTTCTTTTGAAATAGGCACTGGGGTCCCCTGCATATTGGATTGAGAAAGGTTGATTGAGAATGTGCTGAAATGAGCAATAAGAGATGGAAAAGGTCGGTGGGTCGGTCATTGAAATAGCCAATGGATGAATGAGAGAGATGGAAAAGGCCGGCAGATCGGTCATTGAAATAGCCAATGGGATGGACGGAAGAAAGGGAAAAGGCCGGTGGGTCGGCCGCTGAAATAACCAAGGGGGCGGAAGAAAGATGTGAATGAGAAGGACAGAATAAAGAAGGCGGAACCTTAAAGCCAAGAAGGGCAGGGACCGTTGGGACGGTCACAGAGATTGGGTGTTGAGGGATGAGAGAATTGAGGATTGAATGGGCGGAAGGGTCAGTCTTGAGAAATGGCTATTGAGAGAATGACCGCCAGACCGGCCATGTGGATGGCCTTGTTGATGAAGAGGCTGTCGGACCAGCCATGAGAATCAGCCTTGGAAATAGCATGGGATTGAGTGTTTGAATATTGAATATTGCATTGCATAGCCAGGGGACCCTAGGCAACTTTATGTAAGGTCGTCGGGCCGACCATGGAAATAGCAAGAGATTGAGGTTTCCTTTTTTTTCTAGTCTCGGATCTCAACATAAGGGGGATAGCAATGCCTGCATCGCCACCCCAAGACCTCTACCCATTAAGGGAAAAGTCTCAGCGCGACTTGCTCCTTATAAGAAGGAATAAGGGTTGAAGGACCAAAGCACCTCTCTCTTTGATTGATGCTGGCCGTCCGGAACTAACCCCGACAACGAGCTCTAGTCGGGGAGTTCAAATTGCGCCTCATGTTGAAACGTCAAGGGCGTGGTGCCAAATGGGCGAGAGAGCCATTCTTTTTCCTAAGTCTCATTTTTTCTCCCCAACCACACGCCATGTCGTAGAGGGGCGGCACAACCGTTTGGAATGGACCACGGCCACTCGCGTTAAGTTGAGCAGCACTGTCCAGAGGGAGGAATCGGGCGTGGTACCGGGTGGAAGCCGCAACCACCATAGGGCGAGTGACACCGCCCTGCCGGATCATTACAACCGTTCCGGGACTAACCGCGAGGTCTTCGTAACTGCACTCGCAGACTAATAGAGAGCCCCAACTCTCTTGAAAGGAAGAGGCCGGATCCAAGAAAACACCGCTCGGGAGGAACGATTCGCGAGAAGGCACTTACGGCAAGATGGGGTCCTGGGAGGCTTGGACTGGACCTACCTTCCAGATGTGGGGTGGTACCTCAGTG